GCGAAAAGTCATAACCTCGAGAACGCTAAAAATGAATCGACACTGGGGTGTACATAAAGTAATAAATCTGTTTCCTCAATTGATAGTCAACAATTAAAAATCAATCGATTCGATTCTCTAGTACCAAAAATACCTATTTAACGGCATATGAAGTTTGACTTCCAGATATGAACTTTACTATCCCAGCGCAGATTAACTCGTCAGACTTCACCTCTGTAACACTACTATTTTCGTTCATGAGAACGAAAAGTTATGCGGTTTTCCGCTTGAGTGATTTGTCTGTCCATATTGAACTCTCTCCTATCTCAAGAACATTAAGATTTAGATTCTATATATAACTTTTTGTATACTACCTGCAGAGATCTTTCGAAACGGCATATTAAATTATAGGGTTTTATGACTTTAAAAAAATGGTTAAAACCTTCGTTCGTAATTTCATGGCTATCAAAAATAGCAATACCGGTTAAACCTTGTACTGGACCGTTTAACGATAGGCCTATGTAACTTGTCAATAATATTTGATGGCAATGAGTAAAGACTGGGTAAAGCTATATTAGTATTTTAATGATTTATAACGCAATGAGTGATTATTTAATTTCGATTAGTCGTTTCATCAAAAGCGGCTTAAACGTTGCATTGATTAACCAACACCTTATTTCCAGAATCTTAGTAATTAGATGCGTTGTAAAATATAACCCATCTCATTGTGCTCGATACGTTTCAATTATTCATCCCTCCGTTTATCAAACCTGTTAACAGAAAAGTCGTCAATTCATTAATCTTTGTGAATAATGAAAGCTATATTAGGTACGAGGTAAAGGGTTTGTTTTCAAACATGTTCCCTAGGTATGTAAATCTAGACTAAGGGCGACTGTACTTGCGGTCGTGCGTTTTATAGGGATAATAGAGTTCTTTTGGATTAATGAAAAGTATTAGTCAGCAAATTAACGGGTTTTTTGTCAACATAAGTCCTGCGTTTAGATTGTGAATCTAGACTGATAGCGCGACTGGATTACTTAAGCTTTTCCTTTCATTGACACCACGCGTGGGCTCAGAGAAGATTAGCCTGTGGGTTGTTGATAACGCGACTAAAATATATCATGCTCAAGGTCCTAAAAGAACGTTACGCTATGAAGCATTGTCCTTACAAATGATGTAAATAAAGTTAGTATTGTTATCAATTTATTTGAAACTATTAAAAACTATTTTTATAAATTAAAAGTTAAGTACTTATCTTTTAAACCATTTCTTTTTCTGTCATACTGGTATTTATTCTTCCGCTGGCCGAGGACCTACCTCATGTTCCGCTGATTCAAGCCTAATCGTGGTATATACGAGTGCCGATACTTGTTCCGGGAGTTAAGAAATAGACGATAATCATTGTCTAAAATGAAGATTCATTGCTTAAGATGAGTCTCTAAAAATAAGCCAATATCGTCGGCAGCTGCAGGTCGTGCCCCCAACCAGCCCTAATACACAATACCATTTGTTTTGAAAGAGGATGTTCAGCCCTGAAGAAGGTTGAGATAAAGGAGGTTAAAAAATCTGAAATTCATGAATTGTATATGTAAAGCCTATATGTCAGAAATGCTATCATTTTTTTATTTCTCAAAAACTTTGTTTTATACCTTGTTACAGAAAATGCTCATTTACCATATACACAAACTTAATTTATAATCTTTTGCTGTTTTGGCAATTGTAGTCCAATGATTTTCTCACTTAATTGGGAAGAGGCCTTAGCCTCTTGATTTTGGGGAAAATTATTGGTAAAATTATTAATTTTTGGAAGTAAAAAACCAGGTTTATAAAGTTGAGATTTTTGGGAAAAGAGTATGATTTAAAAAATATTGCAATTTGGAAGAGGCCTTTTATAGGAGTCTGTTTATATAAGCAGGAAAATTAGTGATACAGTAGTAGGATTAGTATTTTGTATGATTGTCAGTTTCTATATTTTTTGCAAGTTCAGGTGCTACTTTCTTCAGCTATTTTCAATCTTACATGTAATTTAAATACATTTTTTTAAACATTTATCACATGTTTCATGAATTAAAAAAAAGAATATGGATTTCTGAGGTATAATGTACCTAACGCCTTTAATAATATTTCTTACTCTGTTGACATGAAGCATATGATAAAACTCCACTGGAAAAATGTTGTTTCATTTTAAGAGGTGAAGTTAACAGAGGTGTTTTTTTTCTGAAATAATAACACACATTTTCCATAAATTTGAAGGGACAAAACCTAATAACTTTGATTCTTAATAATTTTGATTGTTTTCCACAAATACACATGAGGGAATGCACAAGGGAGATACTTCATTGAATGTGACACAATTTGGGTCTGTTCATGATTTTCTAATAGAAATATATTTAATTAATTTATGCATGTTATTATCCTGTTTCATTAAAGAAGCTGTTTTATTAAGAAGTCCCCCCCCAACCCCCAATTTTGCGTTATAAAATGAATTTGCTTTATGTTTAATTTTGTTTTAGCTCGACTTTTTAAAAACCCAGGTATTCTTACAGTCATGTCGGCCTTGCCGTTACCAGTTGCCGTCCGCAAATTTGTACCTTGATCATAACTTTTTAAGTTCTTGGTGTCATACTTAGGGTATATAAAACTCAAATTATCATTGACTCATGTATGATCTTCACCTTGAAAGTCGAACTATTTTATTGCTAGATTTTTCTGTCATTTGGTAATTAATCAGTGGATTTTTTTTCGTACTTGGACAAAATAACCTCTTTGACAAGACCTTGACCATCAAGGTCACAGTATTGAATTTTGGTTAAGTAAATGTCATGATTTTGCTATTAATGTATGGATTTGATTCATATAAATGGACAAAACATCACTTGAGACAAAACAGACATGTGGAGTTACTGGAATAATTTAGCTATTACCGTATAAATTGACCTTTAAATTACCTAGACTGTCAAATTATTGAATTTTGATTATATTTTCTCTTCTTTGTCATTTTTTATGGCAAGTATTCATACCTGGACAAAACAACAAGTGTGACTAGACTAAAAAGAGGGAAAAAAATTCTTTAATTTTTTTAAAGGTTTGTATGAACAACCTATCTGTTTGCTTTTAAAATGAAAATGTCGAGCATTTGCACTGCCGGCTGGGGTCTTTTTTTGATTTTAATATTTTAACCCCTTTAAAACCTGTGCACTTGGTAAGGTTTTGAGCGGGCAAAGGGGTATTAAATGCATTGTAAATTTAACAGTATATTTTTTTTTATTTGGGAAAATCCAAATAGGCATTTTTGAAACGTTTGGGGCTTTATACTGCTCAATTCAGTGTTGCAAAAAATGATAATAGTCAGTAAAATGAAAAACAAAAATAAACATCAACAGATCACATTCTTCTTTTATTTTGCTCAAAAAGAAAAACTGTCAAAACAACAGAAGAATATATATTTAATTATGAGTTTTTAAAAACTTAAAATGATATGGGAAACACAAGTCAGAAAAGAAATTTTTGGGGAAATTAATATATACTTGAAAAAACCTGATTGTGAGAGACCTTCAGCTTGGGGAGCTAAACATAAGTGTACGAGAATCGCTGTAAAATGAAATTTTAGAGATTCTAAGAAAGCAGGGACATAGGCTTCCAAAGGATGCACGGACTCTTATGAAAACTCCTCGTGTTATTCAGACTGAGAGGAAGTGTGGTGGCCAGTATAGATATTTTGGTAAAGAAAGTGGTTTAAGTAAACTGCTTTCCCAACATCCAAGTTGTGCCACAGCTGAAAAGGTGGACTAAGTGTGAATATTGATGGAGTACCTTTATATAAGTCAAATACATTGCAACTGTGGCCTATTTTATGCTCTGCATGTGATCTTGACGTTTTTCGAGATATCATTGAATGAAATATCAGCTTTCAAATTTGAAAACCACTTGCACCAACTTAAGAAATGTGTAAGAAACTCTAAAAATCCTATTGCACAGATTGCCAAACGTTCATTTGAATTCGAATCATCAGTTAAAACAATTTTTTTTAAGTTAAGGTTTCCTTTTATTTCTACTCGACAGAAAGGTGCTTTTTTACAAAGACGGGAAAAATTGCATTTATTAAAGAAAAGAGGAAACAAACTTTAGTCTGTGACTTGTGCAGCATGAATGACACAGAAAGTTATTTTGTGTTCCCTTGTGTTTGAAAGCTACTGAACATATGTTTACTAAAAAATAACACTAAATTCAAAAGACAGTTACTAGAGAAGAGCGATTTAGAACGCAAAGTTGTCTGCCTACCTGTTGAAAGAGGATTTGTTCTGCTGCCTATGCTGCATGCAATTGAAAGAAAATAGAACCAGTTCTCCCGTGTTACCCGTTTTCCTGCATGGTTGTAATAGCATGTTCCTTTCAGGTAATAATTTTATATCATTAAGGTAAAAGCAAAAATATTTTGATTGATTTTCATGTAAAAATTTGCTGTCCACTAACTTACAATGTGAACACATCTGTGGATGTTTTTAATTCAAATTCTAAAATTTTTTTTTGTTTAAAAGTTTAATTATGCTTTTTAAAATGGTGCTATGGGGGCGTGGACGTAACTTGCACTTTCGTTATTTCCAGAAAAAGACACAACAACAGAACTTTAAAATTTTTTATTTTTCGTTTTTTTGGGCTCTTAAGGGGCTGGGGTTCTTAAAGGATTGTGTTTTTTTTGTAAATTAATAGAGTGTAACTTATTTAGCGCGTACCAAAAATTTAAACAAATTTGATTCACAAAATCAGCATAAATAGAACAGGCTTCATTCGATGTTTACAAGTAGTTTTAATCACTTCCTTCTTTTCATGTTTGTGAAAAGTAAAAATAAAAATATATATTGGAATTTAGTCTTACATTCTTGACAGAAAATGGAACACAGCAAAGTAGAGTGGAGTTTAGCGGTATGGCTTGAAGGTGAAGTAGAAGAAGAAGGTGTTATTCCTTCAAATGGATAATTGGTGACCATTCTGTAAAATGGCCACAAGGTGTTAGCGCCATTCGGGCAATGAAAGAAATGAGGTCTCCTGAGAATAAATGGGAATCTTTCGAGTTAAATAAAGTAAAGTTTCAGTCTGGTACGTGCCTTCTTTTATCATGTTATGCTAGTCTTATATTCTTTATGTGAAATCAACCAATTTTTTTATTTTGGTTTTAAAGGAGATCTAATAGTGTAATAAAATCCCATATAAAATATCTAGAAAGTAAGCATCATGACTGAACTTGTACAGTTGCCGAGATCTAAAAGTGTAATTAAATCACATATAAAAGATCTAGAAAGTAAGCATCATGACTGAACTTTTACAGTTGCCATACAGAACTTGAAGATGATTATTGTAAAAAATTAAATTTCTTGCTTATATATGGTACTGAATTTGATACTGATACAGTGATTTTTTTACTTTTTTGCAACAACCCATACCCCTGAAATTGTGAATTTTTAGCACGATAATCTGTCAAATTGTGAAAAAATAAACAAGAATAAATCATCACCTGTAGTCACGTTATTCATACATTTTAATAATAACATTCCTAGTTTCAGCTTTCTTCTTTTGATTCTCTCAAATATATCAATCAAATTCTCAAGATTGTGAAGAGGCAAGTCCTTATTTCGGGGTCAAAATCAACCAAAAAATATCACTGTGATAACGGCAATATTGTAATGTTTTAAGACAACAGACAAGAATGTGAGGAGTATAATCAAACAACCACGGCAGAGTTAAGTGAAGAGGAAGAGGAAGGAAAAGAGTTGGGTAAAAGAAAACCAAAGAAAAGAATTATGGAAGACTTCATATCAGGTAGTTATAATAAGAAAAAATGAATAAAAAGATAATTACATCCAAATATCTGAGAAAAAGTTCTTGAATAATGATTCTAACACGACCCGCATTTTTCACTATTGAATATAGAAGAACCGAAAGTGTGTGTTATTATGCAATAAAATCACTGTTGACATTCTGTATTTATATATGTGACGTAATCATTATACATATGACGTAACAATTAAAAAAAATCTGACGTGCTGAAAATAAGTATGGAAACTATTCAGACGCAATTTTGTTTAATATCAGGCACAGCTGCATTTATTTGTTGATGTCGTGTTAGAATTGAAATAATATATCCAAATTGGTGATTTTATTGCTTGATAAAATCACTGTTTGTTGTTCAGATGCACATCATATTACTCCGGCTACGCCCTGGTGATATAGAGAGATAAAATCACTGTTTGGGAATATAATACAATGCTGTGTACATGAAATTAAGTTGGTGATAGATTAAGTTTTGACAGGTTGTACTTAGAACTCGAATAAAGATCTGGCTACGCCCTGGTGATATAATTCCTAGCATCCGAACTCCAAACAGTGATGTTATTGAGAGATAAAATCACTGTTTGGGATATATTACAATGCTGTTTACATGAAATTAAGTTGGTTATAGATTAAGTTTTGACAGGTTGTTCTTAGAACTCGAGTAAAGATCTACACAGAATAATATTATGATTATGATTCTTGCACCCACATTTACAATGTGATTTTTTGATCATGAATAAAAAAAATATATAGATAATTTATTAGCCAAAACTCTTTGAAAATGACATTAACAGACTAATTAAATTTACTGCATGTAATTTTTTTTAAATAATATTATCTTGCATTCTGTACAACTTTTAGAAATAGATGAAACGAGAACAAGAACTGAACAAACAGTGATTCAAAAGTCCCCACTGTCTTGTTCAAGTGCCAAATTGACACAAGATAAAGAGAAAGAAAAGAGTTCAAACAAGGCTCAAGAGAAAAACAAAGCAGGTATATTATTTGAAAAAAAAAAACAGAAACAAAAATTAAAATAGAAAAATGTTTCTAGTAATACAATGTATGTTTTAACAAGATTGCATTTGAGAAAAATGCTATGCCACCGCATTAATACAACACTAAATAGTAGTGTAGGAACATATTTTTTGTTTCTATACAATTTTGAAGATTGTCATTATGCATAGATCCTTGACCTATCTAATTCTTATCATCAGATAAGTGGTTAAATCTGTTGTTAACTCAATAAAAGATCAGAGTAGGAATATATCAATGCACTCAAGTCTAGTGAATTTGGTGGTGAAGGTCATATTTCAAACAGCCTAAATTTCATCAAAGGACAACACAGTAAGACACTTTGTCAAAATCTAGGTCAGCTGAAATCAAAGTTCACTTTACATCTTAATCTGTGCACATGGTTCAAATTTCATAGCTGTACATCAAAGGACAAGAAAGTAGGTCACATCATCAAAATCTAGGTCACCTGATATCAAAGTTCAGTTTTACAACTAAAACTGTGCACATCTTCAAAATTTCATTGCTGTACATCAAAGGACCAGAGAGAAGCCACTGTCCGCTTGGGCAAGGCAAAATTTTGGACCCCAAGGGTTTAATTCAAAACAATCTTAATACAGGTCCACCAAACAACATTTCAAGTCAAATATCTAAGCTGTAGCTTTCTCCCATTCAGAAAACATTTGTTTTATTTTCTGTTTTTACTATGTGTACATAATGAGAAACACTGCCCCCCGGGCAGGGCCAATTTTGACACCAGGGGAAAAATTTGAACAACTTTGGTAGAGGACCTATAGATGATATCATATAGCAAACATCAAAGCTCTGCCTTGTACCTTTACACAATAAGATTTTTTGATTTTTTACTATATGTATATATTGAAAATCAATGACCCCCGGGGCGGGGGCAATTTTGACCCCAGGGCTATAACTTGAACAATCTTGCAAGAAGTTCACTTCACAATGTTTCATGCAAAATATCTACCCTCTAGTATTTGTCAATTGCTAGAAGAATTTTTTTTAAAGTTTTTACTAAAAGTTTTTACTATATACATATAAGGAAAACCAATGACCCCCAGGGCGGGGCCGATCTTGACCCCAGAGCTATAATTTGAACGATCTGGGTAGAGGTCTACCAGACAATGCCTTATGCAAAATATCTAAGATCTAGGCCTTTTGGGTCTTTACAAGAAGGTATTTTAAGTTTTTACTATATGTACATATAGTGAAAATCAATGACCCCCAGGGCGGGGCCGATCTTGACCCCAGGGCTATAATTTGAACAATCTTGGTAGAGATCTACCAGACAATGCCTTATGCAAAATATCTAAGCTCTAGGCCTTCTGGGTCTTTACAAGAAGGTATTTTAAGTTTTTACTATATGTTTATATAGTGAAAATCAATGACCCCCGGGGCGGGCCGATTTTGACCCCAGGGCTATAATTTGAACAATCTTGGTAGAGATCTACCAGAAAATGCCTTATGCAAAATATCTAAGCTCTAGGTCTTTTGGGTCTTTACAAGAAGATTTTTTTAATTTATTCTTATAATTCCTTTTGGTTGCCATGTTCACTATATAATCTATATAACACACACACACACACAAACAAACACACAGGTGAATCGCTATATGCCACCGCATCGCAGATGCTGCGGTGGCATAAAAAGTCTATATGCTAGAAAAATATCTTAATAATACAGCTGATATATACATGGGTACAAGTTGTCAGGCTTCTACTCCTGAAAGATCTCTTTTTCTATATAAAACCAATTGGAATAATACTCAATCCGTGGTTTTCAGTTTTTCGAATGTTTTTAACTTGTGACAAAAGGCCCAAACTAAAAAACTACTGGTCTGTCTGAATTTTCCAATGTGCCAAATTCTTACATTTAAATTTTTAAGTTTTGTCTTCTTTTACTATTGTATACAACAATTAAATTAAAATCTTTTAAAACTGATTTGTAAACTGATTATGGATTATCTATTAAACAAGATATCAACCTTTGGATGATTTATTTCTATTTTAGTGAATCTACCTAAGCCACCTACAGCAATGATAAGTAGAACCCCATTAGCTAAAAACAAAGATTCAGGTAAATATATTTAGCTAACATATTTAAGTTTAAAATTATTGGTTCAATACTCTGAGTATCATGTCGAGTGTTTTTTGTGAGAAAATTTAAACAGTTTTCTTGTAATTACCCCTTAGTTGAGCCCTCTAAACACAATTTAGATTGATACTTTTCTACTTCCACAGTAATTCATGTGATAGCCATTCCTACTGAGCCAATTTTGTCATTGGCATTTAATAACCTTAAATCAGATAAATTGTTATTAAGATAAAATAATGTACATTTTATTGGTAATAGAACTAGAATTTTGAGGTGTTTGTATAGGAATGCATTTTACATATTTTTTAAGGTGAATCAAGAGGAAAGGTTTGTAATATGCCAAGCAGGCATAGTCGAAGCCCATCTTATAGTCCACTGCATGGCTCAGTGAGATCATGGCGGCCACGGTCACGAAATACAAGTCCTTCCCAACCTTCCCGACATGGCTCTGACAGATCATGGCGGTCAAGGTCCAGGAGCAGAAGTCAGTCATTTCGTGACCATACATGGAGGATGTCCTCAACACCTCGGCAATACTCCAGATCAAGGAGCAGAAGCCCCTACTTCAGCCAAAGATATATCAACCGTTCAAGGTCCAAAAGTCCATTCAGACAAGAAATAGAAACTTTTCATTTCCAATGTCTACATCTCGTAAGTACACGTTTGCATAAATTCTGTCATAGTTTGTATTCTATCCCCTTCCCATAAAGTTGACTACACAAAATTACAGATTCATTTCATACATGTATTATGACACTGATGTGTGTAATTGAAGGTTCAAGGATGTATGTAAATTTCACTATTACCATGTTTAAATGTTGAATTCTGCTTTGGCCAGTGCTAGGGGATGTGAACAGTAGTTTGTATCGAGTCAAGTTTGCAATGTTTTCAATTTTGCTATTTTGGACTTTCTTTATTAATTTAATTTCTCCTTTTTTATGATTGAATATTTTATATTTTGAAAATTAACAAACATGAGATTCTTCAAGGATATGCATGTCTGATGACTTGAATTTGCCATTGTTCTTGATATTAAATTTCACAGGTAAATTTGAATTTTTAGGTTTTCATACTTGCTGACTTCTATAAGATATTGACTGTCTACAGGTGCATTTATCCAGGCGGAAGGTATAAAGTAGAACCAGTTTCATTCCTTAGATGATTTTCAAGAATTCGAGGAGGAAATACAGGACAGTGAAAAATTTTCTAGCCTGGTATGTAAAAATCTAACTATAAACATTTAACATAATCTGTCATAGTAAAATTGATATGTTTTGGTAAACTGAAGTAAATACTTGCTCCTTTTTAAAAGCACTTCAATTTAATGAAACATAGGGTACTTTATTTTTGTCAGAAAATAAAAGCAGTTCTTCATAAAACATTAAAAGGAAAACACTTTTGACATGTTTTGCATTTATTTTATTATAAAATTGTTGGAGTGGCAAACTGTTATTTCAATTGAATTTTTTTATTTGAAGAAGCTGTCCCTGTCTAAAATTGGTGGAGTGACTGCGGTCGACCACACAAGGAAGGCAATGGAAAGGTATGTAAAAGCAACCCTGTTATTGTTGCTTTTTAAATTATTTTGCTATTCATCGTTTATTATATCATTACGTAAACAGATTACAAAAACAAGATTATAAAATTATATGGATTATGGCTAATACATTTATAACATTGATTGAAATTGGATACTTGACATTGTATATGAACATATAATATATACATATATATATATATATATATATATAGATCAATATTTATGTGAAATATTTCAACAGTAAAATTATATTGGTTCTATTATTATAATGGCTGAGTTTTGAAAAAATTGTAACATAGAATGTCTCTGATATTCAATACACATGAATAATGTAAACTAACAGAATACAAATATCCGGAACAAAATATCATTTTGCTATTTAAAAAAGGGTTTTATTCGTATAACAATAATTTTTTGCATGCGCAATTCGCCTTTTAAGGCAATTATTGCCATTTTTATTTTATACAAGCATTTTTGAAGTATACTTTTTTAAAATTCAAACAATAATTTTTGCGTCAGATATATAGCTTTATACACTTTAAGGTATTATCAATTATGAAGAAATGTTTATTTTTTAACACCTTAATTACAAAGTATTTTAAATTTTGTTATACAGATTGTTTCTGATGCAGTGTCAAACTTTTAAGAATTTTCTTTCAAAAACAAATGATAATTATACATTAACTTTTGATTTGTCTTCTGACAGGATGCTACACAACAGCCTGATGGCCAAAATGAATATGAAGGGAAAGAAAGGAAAGTTTCCATTTGGGAAAACCCAACTCTTTCAAGCCATCATAGGTCAGATATTTTATATGTTTCTTTTAATCTTAAATTATAAAATATTCTATGTAATTATGGTTTTCAATATTGTACACTATACCCGTATAGTTCGACTTATCTACCGTGCAGGTTATAATAAAGCCATTTGTTAAAAAAACATATAACACCATATTACACTATAATGTAATGTCTTTGCAATGTAATGTAATCATTTGTAAACAACATATTTCACCATAATGTAATAACTTTGCAATGTAAGATAATTGTTTATTTTATGCTTTTCAGTGGATTACTGATTTATCCGTGAAAATTATATTTGATAATTTCACAGTGAAAATTATCAAAATATAATTTCACTTTTTTCAATGACGAAACTACTTTTTTAAGATTTTCCCAATGTGGTACCTCAATTTTATTTTTACTGACAACTCTGACAATATCTGGCTGTTTAAAAAAATAGCAAAGCTGAAATAGATAAATAACTTAAATGTCAAAAGTAATAAAGAGAGAAAACATACTTCTATTCCTTCAAATTCCAATCACAAAATTTCGTCTCTAAATTTTTTCGTTTCGTTTTTACAGTCTGAAAAATACATTCCTTCCCCATGCTAAACTGCTCTTGATGACATTTGGGCAGATTAAAGTATCCTACGAGCAATAACTGCCGTATGCTTTATGAAAAATTGAAAAGCATTGACAGCCATCACTCGTAAAATAAGTAAAATAACCCAGCGTTCCTTACAATGCCTTAGCAAGCTTCCAAGTTTTTCCATTTTCCTAGCTCCTTTTCTGAATGTTTTCACTTCTGTCAACACTTATTTTTTGTCTGTTTACAATCCTCAAATAAGTTTTCTTTCTTTTAAAAAGGTGTATGACTAACAAATCCAAATTATATCCTTCTGAATCGTTACACAATTATTTTCCTCCCATGAAATACACAACTTTAAAAAATGGCTGCCGCTTACATTTTACAAAGCCAGGTCTAATATAAATTCGCCAGTAAGTAACAGAAATATGGATGGATGGTTGGACTTTTTCTCCTACAAGAATTGTTTGTTTTTATTATTAAAACAAGCGATCATTCATATTTTTTTAATAAAATGAATAAATATCACCGTCATTTAACCTTGATTGGCGGACTTATTTTTCAGCTCAAGACTTCTTGCTTTTAATGAGAAATTCCCTCTAAATGAGGCTCCCAATGGGGGAAACAGATTTTAATATTAACGTTAAAATTATGGAAATTTCGTTTTAACTTGTTTTAAAGCATAAAATAAAAAGAAAATTTGTCTGTTTGTTATGTAAGATGTAATTTTATTTCATCTCGTGAACTTTAAAAACAGTATTCTCACTCGTGGCTACGCCACTCGTGAGAATACTGTTTTTAAAGCCCACTCGATGAAATAAAATTTCATCTTACACACAAACAAACAAATATCCTCTATAAGATATACAAAGATAGGCTAACAGCATTCTTATGTTAGTGTAAACTGTAGTTACAATTTTAAAAATATTAAAAAAATTTTATTGGGTATGTGATCAAAAAATATAATATTGTGTAGGTTTATTACATTTGCAATGAACTTGTTGAATAACTCATTATTATGTTTGCAAATTTTATATTTTGTTTTCAATATTTATTTCAGTATAAATAAACATTTTTAACAATAAGGACATAGTGCTCAAAATGTAAATTTTCTTATATGCAAATGCTGTGAATCTTATATACACAAAACCATTTTCTTTTTCATTGTAGAGACTGTAAGAGATAGTCATTCAAACGTTACTGAGGTTACAATAAAGGATGCTATAATGAAGCAGTTAAAGTATGCGCCAGAACGAGCTGGAGGAGGGGGGAAGAAAATGCCAGCAAATGAAATAAAGAAATACAGAATCAAGACTGAAAAAATATGACTTTCAAATATTGAAGACAATTATAGTTAATTTTAAGTAATTTTCAAACTCTTAAAAAAAGAGAGTTTTATTTTTACATAATGTCTCAAGTTGTTAATATGATCTGAATATTGAAATACAAATATTAACATTTATACAGAAATAACCAAACATCTCTTAATCCTATTTCATTACCAGCAATTGCTTAAATTTTTTTTAAAGTATTGAAATTAGTATTACACATGTGTAAGCTATATTTTCTGTCAAATGGTTTGAAATAAGAATTCATCCCAAATGTTTTATGTAAACATATTGTACGTATATGATTGTTTGTTACAAATCTTTAAATGTACATTATGCCTCACAGACCAGTCTGGTCAATTAGCATTATTGAATAAAGAGCATAGAAAAAACATACATTTTATGTGTTATTTAAATGGCGTGGTTCTAACTCAAACAACGTCATTTCTTTACATTTTGATGTTAAAGCATAATTAAGTGTACAATAGGGAAGACTTCACCGGAGAAGTAGAAAACAAAATGCCTGACCATGGTGAATGCAACAGGGAATAAGGTTCTAATGTAAATTACAAGTAGCCTAGCTAGATACATGACATTTGACCAATGTTGATACCACCTCACGATCAAATTCAACAACCTTTTGGGCCTGCTTCAAGTGTTACTTTGGTGTTGAAACTTCAACGTTGATTCAACGTTTAAACTTCAACGTTGATTTAACGTTGAAACTTCAACGTTGATCCAACGTTGAAACTCCAACGTTGATCCAACGTTGAAACTTCAACGTTGATCCAACGTTGAAACTCCAACGTTGTTTCAACTTTCAAATCCGAATATAAATCCAACATTATTTCAACGTTGAATTCTGACCATATTTCAACGTTGTTTCAACGTTGTTGTGCCTGCTGGGTAGCTTTAAAACTAAATCTACACATATTTAGAATAAGTAAGAATAAGCGAACTATGCCATAAATGTGTTTTATTGATCTAAATTTATATACAAAGTGGGAGGGGGATTACGAACGGGGAGTCAACTTTAAATTAAATACTTTTTTGTTTAATATTATAATACATAGTGATATTTAAAAGATAACAATTTTATGTAATTGGTTAGTGATTAGACATCTTATTTTTCACAGAAAAATGCCCTGCATGTGTGTCTAAATGTTGAAATATTTTATTTGTTTTATGTACACAAAAAGGAACTAATTTACTGACCTGCAATTCGGTATTTGCGTTGACCTTATGCTAGCCTTTTGTTAAGGATTCGTTTGCAAGTTTGTTTCTCCTTAGCCATAAACATTCATTGTTAGCCTTCAAATGTGATTTTGATTATACTTGTAGGTCACTGTTCAAGACCTATAAGCTAAGCATTTATTAGGAAATAATAATAATATCTATTTATTAACTTACAGAATTTCTCGGACAAGATGTATCTCCACAACCATCATTATTGTAGGTTACTTCCCTCTAACATGTTTTATTTCAAAGAGTTATACTACTTTATGAATAAGAGAATTTCTTTAGTATGCAGACTGTTGATTTTGATTATTCGAGCGTGCTGTCCGACATGCAGCTCTTGTTTTAAGGCATTGGCTTAACATATGATAATCTACAATTGAACCATATTTTGGAGTTTTGTAATTATTGATGACGGATATAATATATACATTAAAATGTAAAATGTAATTTGCTAGAACATTAAAAATGGGTAGGTTATTCAGTTTACAGTAAGATACTTTTCTGCTAGACTGGATCTGAATAATGAATAAAATATTATATAATATTGAGTGAATTGAAAATATATATTATGAGGGCAGTTTCTTTTTAGCTCAACTATTCGACGATTAAGGACAACTATCATAATCGCCCGAGCGTCGGCGTTAAAGCTTGCGTACCATCTCACAGTCCATTGACATATGGCTTTGGAACTTGCACACTTGTTTACCATCATGCCCTCCATTTATGCCCCTTTTTTCAACTTTGAATTTACATTTCCACCTCAGATAATTTAAAAATTCCATCGACATATCGCTTTGAGAACTTGCACACTAGTTCACCATCATAATCTCAACCTGTGTACAGAGGAGGTTCTTTTATCAAGCTTTTTTTTACAATATTATGTCCCATTTTTTACTATCAAGCACTGAGAATAGTCGAGCACGCTGTCCTACTGACAGCTCCTGTGTATGATTTTGAGCATTTTGTTTCAAGTCGTTTGTTAACTTCATGGGAGGAATTGAGAAGAGCTTTCAATTGGACGAAAACAGTTTATCTTTTCCCTGGTGGGTACTGTAAAATCATTATTATTCGTGGGGCACGAATTTTCGTGGTTTTCGTGGGTAGGTCAATCCACGAATTTAAGATCCCACGAACTTTTATCCCAACAAATACTTCTTACCCAGTCTTTGTTCTATATACATTTGTATTACAAACATGCGTCGGCTCTTTTCCGGCCGATATTTCGTGAAATGGATGTATATACAATATTTAAGAAACTTGAAAGAAAACTCGATTATATGTTCTCAATTTACTGTCACAAATGTCGCATATACGTACTTGATCGTTGTAGTCTACTAGGACTTGATTGTGTCAACAAGAATACTTGACATAATCGAGTAAATATGGGAACCCAGGCAGTGCAAAATAAGCGCTAATAAAAATTGTCAGTTTGCTCTTATTTATTAAAAAAAGTCTTTGATATTAATGTCGTAAGTACACAAAACCATCAAAAAATACGATCGCTAAAACAGATTTATTGTACATTCTTTTGTCGTTTTAAATGATCCAGTTTATATGAATTTTAATCTGTATTTGTGCGAATGCTATTCCGTCAACATCAAAGACGCCACCGACTTTCACAAGGTATAAAAGATCCACACATACTCGTGTTATTTACCGAGATTAATTTATATGCATGTAAATTTACACAGTCACTGTGACGTTGTGTGTAGTTACTGTCAAATATGTTAAGACCAATTCAGGGTGTAAACTTTTAAACTGGCAGATTAAAACCTGTCAGGTGTCGTATAAATTATGCGATGTTTACATTGGCGCATTACAGGGGCAGTGTGTATATCATGTCACATAAATGTGTTAATTGCAGTCAATTATCGGCAGTAACTGTGCTATATTAGTTATGCCCAGAGGCAAGGATTAAATTTATTGACAAGCGCTGTGTGACAAGTAAAGATATGTACATGTTGTAAGTAAAAATGTTCGGCGATTAAGTTTAAGATTATTTTGCATTAGGTTACTGATTTTTTTAACAAGAAAACGAATATCCACGAATTCAAGAACCCACGAAAATGCCTTTTTTGATAAATCCACGAAATTTCATGCCCACGAATTTAAGTGAATTCGCAGTACTTGATAGTAATACTATGTGCTGGGGGGGGGGCGTAGAGTAACATGCACTTTCCAGTACCGTCCATGAACAGGCTCAATCAAACCGAGTCTACAACAGCAGGTTACCAGTGTTATATTAATAGGTCCTTCGGGATGGTGGTGTTTGTGTCGGTAGTTTTCAATCCGGATCTCGGCCGTAACCATATTGAATTTACCAGAGCACAGTTCAGACACCGAATCGTTCCTGGACAGGCTGTCAAGCAGTTTACCAGTGCTAGTTGTCCTCAATTTTGCAAGGAACTGAAACTTCTGTACATAGCAGAGCAGTGGTACAGTGCGAATAACCATGATCAATCGCAACGAAAGTGACATGCCCCGTCCGGGTATCAAACACGGGTTGCCCGATTCACAGTCCAACGCTCTACCAATTGAGCTAACCGAACGACTTGGTCCTTTGGGATCACTGATTGCAAAACTTTTATAGTTGAAGATTGGATACTACTTAGTCGGTACTAAGAGACGTGAGATATGGTTCCTCATGAACAGACCTCATCAAACTGAGTTTGAATTATCAACTTTGCCATGTTTAATTGCTCTCAAAGGATCTTCTCTTTTCCTGATTTTTACAATCATAATGCCAATGACATGTTAGTTTACTTTATTTACTTTTATATTGTTACTAGAGGGATTTTATGATAAGTCTCTCTACTGTTTCACAACCGGAATTAAATAGCACTTACCGTTACCTAGATGATATCCTTATCATGAATAATCAAATTTGATCAAGTGAAATCATATAGATATCCAAGTGGACGTAAAATGAATAAAACAAACTCCTAATATTTTCAAATTTAAATATTTCTATCATTAACAATTACATAGTAACTAAAATCTATGATACATGTAATTGTTTTCTTTTTTAAATAACGTTGTTAACTGTTCACATGTACTTCATGCAACATCATATTGCGTATATATATATATCTAAGTTAATTAGATTTGCCTGGGCCTGCTGTCGTGTGGATGATTCTAATGAACGCAATTTATTTATTACTGGCAAACTTCTTTAACAAGGCTATCGCTATCATAAATTACGTAAATATATTACAAAGTCCTGTCGTCGTAATTCAGATATTTTTAAAATTTAATTTTACTCTAAAAACTCTTTTACGTCTAGGTATAAGCAGGCCTGATTTATGTGGAGATGACAGTCTATCTGTGGCATGCAGGCTTCATAACCTCTGATCCCCTTTCAAAATTCCATTTTATTTAGTTCCGCTCATTGTTTTCTTGTTTAGAGCACACACATTCTTGTACTTGCGTACCATACGCCGCTTTTTATGGAATGACACTAACGTGTCACATTGAAGGTTCCATGATAACCACAATATAAGCGCGTCTGCGGTTGTTTCTAAATCCAAAAGTTCACCATAACCATGATCAAATGTTTAATTCTGCTTAATTCGGTGCGAGGGGGCGTGTACTGAAGTTTGCACTTGACAGTGCCGTTCATGAACAGGCTCAATAAAACCGAGCCTGCAACATTTTCATTTTTGACGTTTTGTACGTTCTTAATTATAACAGATTTAATTTCGTCTTCTGTCTCGGTAAGTGATGTTTATGTTGCTCTGGCTTCCTTTAAGGCATCGAGTACT